TTATTAAATGATATTATTTCCATGTGAAAGATGTATATTTTCTATACAAGAACATAAACACATTCAGCCTATCTTCCTGACATAGTGAAAGGAATAGTTTAAGAAAATATATTTTACCTAGAAAATATGACAGAATCCCATTCAGAAATACCACTGTTACAATATTGGTGGTTGTGTGACATGTCAAACTAAAGTGTGAAATTTAGCATTGATTTATGAAATACTACAAGCAGTATGTGAATGCATTAAAGAAAAAAGGGACATAGAAAATATAAAAAGCAAACGGAAGTTGTGAGTGTCAATGAAAAATGATACACACGTCAGTAAAAGATTGTAGGGGTGATGGTAAAAAGACCAACATTAGTGGCCCTGTAGAGCAAAAATTAAATGTATGTATATTTTAAAACATATTCTGATGTTTCTTTGGGTGACAGAATTGCATTACAAATTTAAAAGTTCTGACAAGCAATATATTTTGCAATGGAAGTAAACCATGGTTTATATAACTTCAGTTTAAGAGGGGCAGAGACATTACAAGGGAAATTAAACAATACAGTTTTAATGCATGGCTGCTGTCAGTGTGTTGGAATTAAGTTGAAACCTATAATGAAACTTAGTCTCCGAAGGAGACACCTTTTTTAATTACTGGTGTATTTTCGTCATGTGAATAAACGGGTTGAAACCATATGTCTTTATATTGATTTAAGGCTATAAAGGTAAAACTGGTCTCATCTGTTATCAGATGACTGCAGCAAAACCTTCCCTTTCTTTTTTTTTATTGTGATGCTGTGATGCCTTTATATTACTTTCCTGGAAATAGATATTTCTTCATCCAAGTGTGAAACTTTGCTCTTGAATACTGTTCATTCCTTTTTAATTGACTAGTCTGGAAATAAAATATCGAGGTGTTTCTAATTATCTTTAAGGAACTGAAAGTCAGACAGTTTTTATTTTTGAGAGCAAATGGCTAGTTTTCTTTGCGATTTTGCGAACGCCTGACAGTTCGCTACTTTTCTTTCGCTCTAGGGCTCACAATGCTAATTTCAACATGCCGGTATTGAAAGTACAACGAAGTGTTTGGGGAAATGTCATTTTTAATTAAGTCCCAGGTCTTTTAACATAGAATGAATTAACTTCACTTGGGGCGTGCAATTGCAAAGAAGCTGGGAGAGCATGACGTATGTCTGTCAAGAAAAATGATATGCATAAGGAAGTAATTTTCTGTTCCCCAAGAAAAACTGAAGCATTTAACCACTGCTAAATTCTGAAATGCAATCAAATGGATCAAAACTGTGAAAGACTATCTCACTGTTAGGGCCACATGAATAATTCACAGAAGACACTTAAATGCAGAGATGTATGCAAGAATGTTATCAAACAACAAACATGAAGGATGCGTTTTACAATAAAAACTTTAAAGCTGTTTTTAGAGATGTTTTCTTCTGTTTGGAACAACCTAATTCCTTCATTTTAATACTTATTTTTCCCCCACTGGCTTGACACAGGAATTTCAAAACTGCTAAATAAATTTCATTTAGATCATTCATGACCAAAATAAAGTTTAAGCGTACACAAGGAAGTTCAAAGAAAAGGCAGAACTTACAAATAAGATAATAAACAACAACATAACAAATATATTACAAATAATTATTGTACCGTGGAGTACTACTATACAATGCATGGTAAATTTCTGATAATGACATATTTCTTGGTTTTTTAAGATGATAAATGAAATCAGAAATAAAGAACACTATTGATATTGATGCAACAAGTGGACAAGGAAATGTTCAGACAGATGATTCTAACCTTAGAAAATAGAATTGTTTTTAAAGTTTACTTTTGAAATATGTTTATATCTGTTAATGTCATGGATGTCCAAAGGGACTAACCGTGGGGAGCAGGAGAGCAGAAAAAGACCCATATCCATAGCGGCGAGACAGGAAAAAGGCCCGGGCTCATTAGTGCAAAGAGTTCAAGAATGCCGTATAGAAACCTATGCCCTCAGGGAGCGGACGTGGGGCGCCCTGGTGCTAGGCGGGTCTCAGGACATCCGAACATCAATGCTGAGCGAAGACAGAGTGCAAGACCCGGAAATATATAGCCCAAGGAAGAGAGGGACAGGAAGGACAGCAGACCGGAAACTAGGGACAGGACAGAGAAGGAGCGCCCTCTGGCTGCAGAGGGCGTGACAGTTAACAAAGTTAGAATTAGCACTATGAAGTTATTTTACTCAGTTCCTTAATATAAACAGTACATATATAGTTTAATCTGCAAATAAAGGATAAATGACAACAAAAGAGAAAATGTTTTTTGTCAGTAGCCCCACCTGAGGTCTACTTACACAAGAATCAAAATAATGTGCTTTTGCTGAATACAGTATATTTTCTAGACTTAAAAGAAAACAAAGTTAGGTCTAGAGTTTACTTGATTTTTTAAAAGGGGTTTTGGAAAAAAAAAAAAGAAATGTTGGCAAGCAAAGATTTTTGGTTCCCCAGAGTATTGTAGTTCAAGAATTAATAGAAGATTAATGACTGCACATTGTACTTTAATGCACTTTGTAATGTGTATTAGAGTTCACATGTTGTTTCCCTTATTTTGCATTGCTTTTGTTTTCCATATTTTAAATTCAACTTCTGTCCTCTCTTTTTTTTTCTTATGGGAAAAATCCTCTCCAACCGCTGCATAAACACGGTTTCTGTCATCTGAAGTCAGCAGTCTGTCAGTATGATGGGCAGAAAGGAAAAATAGCGACACAAGGCAGCCTGTCATCTCAGGAGAAGAATTTGCCTCATGGACCTGTGCTTATGGAGCAGACACACTGATGGAATGGTGGTACAAGGTGAGGAAAAGAGAATGATGATGCACACCCGTGCCTGTTAGCAATCTCAGAAAGAGTGTACACATCATTACACTTTAAGTGATATCACGAGAAGAAAAGTCATGCCTTCAGGTAAAGATTTAACTTGACAGAGGACGTAAGAGGGCAACTCAAAACCTTGTGGAGAACCACTGTAGACATAGATTTCACTTCGCCCAAGAAAAACCGGTATGAAACAATATGAGCATATTCATGTTATGAAAGAAATGGAACATGGTGGTATCAGAAGTTGCAATGTAAATTCATAAAAACGCACATAAAGGGACAACCAACAATGCACCATTATTGTTTTTTGTTGTGATGGCTTTGTTCAATACCTTGTAAGACTTAGAATGAGAAATACATTTTAAAAAAGTACATTAAAGTGTTCCTTTCTTCAATACATCTATCTCTCGTAGTTTGTTCCTGTTGTCTATGCTTCCTACAGATACAGAATTAGATTGAGGGGGCATTCAAATTTCATTTACTGTATAAATCCTTTATATCCTTTAATATACAAAAACACATTTCTAGATACTAACCTGGTAGTATCTTTACTAATGATTAACATCATGATATTAACAATAGCTTATTTGCAATCATAAATGCTTTATTAATGCACATTTGAGTATTAACAGCTTGTGTTAATAATGATTGTTACAGATTTATGAAACACATATTTTATGTTATAGCTTTATCAATAACAGAAAGATAATCATGCTTGCTATGCATTTATGGAGCTTTAAACTTCAGTGTGTACTTAAATAAAAGCATACATAGAGTCATATTAAAAATTGTAGCTGATTATTTTACCTATTACAATGTTTTAAAAATGTGCCTTGTGGAATTTGATTCCAGATCTAATTAAAAATAAATGATTAAAAAGTTGCATAGAAACCTTAAAAGTCAAATAACCCTGCACATCTAGAAATAACTGAATATGGTGTGTTACTAGCGTATACAGTACTGTACGGTATTCTACTATTCCTCTGCCTTTAATAAAAATTTAAAACTGCAATCCTAGAGCCTGGTGAATGTGCTGGTGTACCTGTGGAATTTGCTTTGCCTGCTTTGGGATTTGAAAGCCACCCTGTGGTTTCTTAGGCTGACTTGCACGGCCACAGGAGAGTACTGAAGAATGAGCTGTCAGCATTGCCAGTGACAGTTTGTAAGAATTGTGGATTCAGAGTGACACACACATTCTGGCGTTATTAATATCTGACACCTCTGGACATATTTATATTGAGTGTATATATAGCTAGAACACCAAAAAGATATTCACCTACAGAAACTCAGAAAGAAGAAAAGCAAAGCATACAATTTTGAAGATAAGGCCATAAGAAAACTTATAAATGATAAGAAGCCTGTTCGAACTGAGATGGATTAGGTGCTTTTATTCCTGTGATGTTGGATGTGATATTGATTTTGTTGCATGGGAAAACAGCATGAGCTTGAGTTTTACAAAGTTCACCTGTATGTTTCCATCTGTGCAGATGTGGCCAAGAAGTTGCAAGTTACACAGTTGCCAAACAATAATCCTTAAATAGCAATAATCGCAATCTAAGGAAATAGTCTTACCTTACAGGTTGTTTTTAAAATGCTTGCAAGTTAATTAACAATTGCATGCTGTTTAACTCTTTCATACAATCTCCTTTGGATAAGTGTGATTCAACAACTCAACAGCCACACTATTTAACTTGCAATACATTTGGTGATTTTTCATGCACAGATATTTGAGCCTTTCCCAATAAATTGGGGCCATACTTCATTCCATCAAAACTGGCAGCCTGTCAGCAATAACAAGTACAACATTTTTTTATACAACTGATATTCCCACTGTACGTACCTACAATTTTATATGGTTTAAAACACATTAATTAAATAACTTCAATATAATCTTCATGAAACTAGACAATTAGCTGTTTTCAGTTCCTCCTGCAAGCTCACATACACTGAATGACTATGGTTTAACAGCAGAGGTGAGTGGAAGAAGAAAAAGGAGAGGAAAGAAATAACATTGTAACGTTTTAACAGAGGGACAACTGATTCTCTGTACTCCCGGTGGTGTACACCTCCCATAGACGGTTTATTTTACTGCCATCGATTCGGCGCAGGTTCCCGTCAGAGGTTCGGCTATGTTCGGCCATTTCCGTCCTGGTTTCCGCCACCATTTTGTCGACTTGCGTGCAGCTGGCTGAGGTGCTGTACTGTAGATCACATCGTAGAGATAGCTAATCCGGCAATGGACGGGTAAGGTGCTTTTTGGTTATGTTAATTATAAACATTTTAATTGTCATATCTTAGCGATCACTGCAAAGATACAGTAGAGACTAAGATAAACTGGGAATGAGAAGTCGGACGTGCGTGTCCAGTTAACAAACGGTCTGTGTGTTTTTTCACCCCAGCTGAGAAAGAAGTGATTTTTCTTGGTTATCTGATGTTAGGGCTTTTTTTTCTCCTTTGGGTTATAGCGTGAATTGTAAGGGTTGAAAGCAACAGAGTGTGAAAAATGTTAAAAATGGTTCTTTGTTTTGTTAGAGAAATAAGGCGTGTTTATTGCTGCTTTCGTAGAAAGTAGCGCTGAAAAAGCCCTGGCGGTCTCTTGTCGTGGATAGCACTGGGATCATTTGTGTGCTTATTATTTTAAAACTAAGGTTACGGATTTCTGCCGCACTTTTACAACCTCTGATGCACAATCCAAACGAATAAAGAGGTCTTGGGTTCTACTTGGTCCTACCTACAGTTTCTTTCTTTTTCCGGTGGAGAGCATCTTTCCTGTCAAGTCACGTAGACGTATCTTTGTACTTTGTAATCTAAATATGGTGTGATATAAGCGGTGCTACATGTGCTTTTTTTCATACAAATTAAACGTTGGTTCTAATACAAATCAAACCTGACATTGCAAAGACCCCCGTTATTATACGCTGATGTGGAAATGAGTTACGCGGTATTGGAGGCGAAGGCCATATGGAAACAGGCCTGTTCAGTGGCGTGGAGCCAGGTTTATGCCTTTGAGAGTAGGGCCCTATTGATTCACGCTGTAGAGGAGTTGTTTTTGTCGAAGTGTGCTTCTCGGAGAAAAGTGGATCTCTGTACATAATACATTTTAAGAATGCTTTTGAGTGCCTTTCTGAGGTTGTATCCAGCGCCATTTAAGCAGTCGTGACGCTCATAAACCTCTCCCTCTGTAATTGCTAGGCTGCGGTGAAGAACACAAAAGGATGTAATTTTTGTAGCAAATAACTGCCCGTTAACAAAACACCAGAGGTCTCAGACAACTACATTGTAGTGCCGTTTGTAATAACATTGACCAAATTCAAACAGGGCGGTTGCTTAAGTTACACTGGCCAGATGTGTCTCTAAACTGAGTTGTAATGGATGATGCTTTGTTTTCTCAGGATAAAGCAGGTTGGTCGCGTGGGAGGGTCTTTGTTTGCTGGGTACCATACAGTAACACTGACTTTCTCCTTTTTCTGTGTTGTAGCATTGTCACTGATGTTGCAGTTGGCGTAAAGGTAAGGATTATTGTTGGTTATAAACGTGTGATTTTAATGTTTACACTTCCTGTGCCAGGCCTTTATTTTCATGTGAGTGCTCATCTTCACAAAGAAGTGGCTCAAATAACCTGCACCCCATGAAGACAAAAAAAAACTCTCACAACATTAGAAAGTGGTTTGAGGCATCACTTGTCTAATGCTTTCCTCTGTTCATCTGTAGGCTAAAATGTAATTTGGATGTGGAAAGGACTGCTTATGTTAGTTATTTTAGAGTTGTATGAACAGGACAGGTGGATAGGTAATGAATTCAAGGTGAGTTGGTTTGTAAGGTTTGGGTTATGTCGTAGAGTACAAAGACATAACCTTAAATCATCACAGATGTGCACTTAAAATAAGCTTATAAAAAGCAGACTTTTGTTCAAGATGTAACTCTCCTACTATTTTGGTTTTCACTACTCACAGTTGTCTGAGGTGATTTTAATTGAAGTGCCTCGGCTTCTTGTGCTTAGTATATCTAGGATGTCACTTTCAATTTAAAGGCCCATGAAGAACAGTAGACAACATTTTTCGGTGTACAATGAATATTTGAAATCAAAGTTTACGTTTTTTATTTTAAAAGTCCTCTAAAACAACCTCATATTTAGCTGGTCCCAACAAAAATAGTAATTCTGTCTTGACTGTTTCTTACTCTTATCGCCAAAGCATTACAAAAACGATGGTTTGGTCGTACACTGTTTCTGTTAAATCAATTTTAAGTTTGCTGCTGGAAGAGGTGTTAGTGGGGCCAGCAGGGGGCGCTCACCCTGTGGTCCACGTGGGTCCTAATGCCCCAGTATAGTGATGGGGACACTATACTGTAAACAGGTGCCGTCCTTCGGATGAGCCGTAAAACCGAGGTCCTGACTCTCTGTGGTCATTAAAAATCCCAGGGCGTTTCTCGAAAAGAGTAAGGGTGTAACCCCAGCATCCTGGCCAAATTTCCCATTGGCCCTTACCAATCATGGCCTCCTAATAATCCCCATCTATGAATTGGCTTCATTACTCTGCTCTCCTCCCCACTAATAGCTGATGTGTGGTGAGCATTCTGGTGCACTATGGCTGCCGTCGCATCATCCAGGTGGATGCTGCACATTGGTGGTGGTGGAGGGGAGACCCCATTACCTGTAAAGCGCTTTGAGTGCAGTGTCCAGAAGTGTAAGCAATTATTAATTATTATTATAATTTTTAAAATTACTGCATTTTTTTTCACAAAAAGCTCAATCTCAATTCGCAATTCAGAGATGAAGACAGCATTCCCATTTTAGCAACAACTTATCAAATTAAACGTGTGAGGTTCTTATACAAATAAAATATCTAATATCATAGTAGTTCAGATGGGTAGCTGCGTCAGCATGCGTAGGCTGCAAAGGAACAAGTTATAGGTTTATTCCATGCTGAAAGAAAGAAGAAAGAGAACACAACGTTTCGGCCGTGGAGCCTTCTTCAGGTGTGTCACACCTGAAGAAGGCTCCACGGCTGAAACGTTGTGTTCTCTTTCTTCTTTTTTTTCAGCATGGAATAAACCTATTACTTGTTCCTTTGCTATCTAACATCATGTCTTGTTTAAGGGCTTTATTCTGATTCCTTGAAGGACCCCTTACCAGAAGGTGTTAGGATCCTGCTGTCTTGACCTGAGTATGTTCTTCCTGTTTCCCAAATGAATGCCCTTCTGAGCAACTGATCTCCATATCAGTATTGTAAATGTGAATTTGTCTCAGTTGACATAACTGGCTATAAACTGATTAAATAAAAAATACATCTTAAACTTATTGCATGCAAAAGAACTAGACTGTAAAAGATGTTAAGGTGCCAAAAAAGTGTAGAAGGACATACAAATAATTAAGCAAACAACAGAATGAGAATACATGATGCATGGTCAGTACAGCAGTGCAAGCAGGTATAGTTCGAACCGGTGTGTGTTGAGGAGCTGGAAGGTGGCTATGGATGATGTAGTCCTGCAGCTTCAGGGTGTCTGACTTCACCACTGAAATGCAAGGGGGGGAAATGAGCAGGCTAGGAGTGTAGAGAAGTAACTACTGAGTAAGTAGGTTAGTGGGTGAGAAAAGGGAAATTTACATAGATAAGTAACATGAAGTCAGAGGTAGCAGAGCACTGAAGACAGCAGTATATAAGGAGAGAGGGATCATAGGTTGGATGTGTTTTGGTAGCTAAAGACAAGTGCAAAGATGAGGGGTTGCTAGCAGAAGAGGGGTATGGATTTTATTTCCATCCAGAAATCCTGACTAGTTCAATACACAATATACCTAAAGTGTTAAAAATGCAAATTCTTTTTTTAAAGTTGGTGAAATCGAATTTAAAAAACATCAGGACTTTCCTTGTCGAAACAGCAGATAAAATGTAAGAGATCTAAATAAACAAATTTTTATCTGATGTTTATAAGTATTAAAACATTTTGTTATAGGTCGAGGGATTTGTTATCTTTTAGTTTCAAAGTTTTAAAACAAATGAGTGATGCCTTAGTAACGCAATTAGTTACCAAATTGGGTGTTGGTGTAATAAATTTGTTTAAAATCCAAATTATAATTAAGTAGTTTTTTTAACTATTTCTTCTCAAAAACACATTACAGTATCAATCCTTTTGCATGCATTATGCTCATTAAAATTGTCATTTTTATCTCTCATACAGAACAAATAGTTTTCTTTCTATGATAAAAAGGGATTGATACATTTTCTGAATTGTTTCCAGATATATTTTTGGACTTAAGAACTCTTGGTTCTTAAGGTTTCTGGTTTCTTTATCATAACTAATGCCACTTGTTTTTCTATTAAAATAATGAAATAATTTAAAGAATAAGAGCAGAAGATAAAATTATAGCAGCTTATAAAGATTAAAATGTTTTAATTGTGTTAAAATTGTATCAGAAGCAATATACAGGTTGATAATCATTGTGTCCATGGATGATTTTTTTTCAGTCACTAAATCATATTTTGCAGTACAGATGGACTAAAATGAACTTGTAGGTTCAGTTAATCTTGAACGTCCCTTATGTGATTCAGAATGTTTTGTTGTTCGTTACCTGCTTATTTCCTACTGTCATTCATAATTAAACTGCCTTGATAGTTCATAGTGTTAAAGTGGTGGGAGAAGTCATGTGCATTGCAATTAACCTTTTGGTGTTTAATTATTGAATACCTAGAAATTAGCAGTGTAAAATACTTTGATTATTGATGTACTGTTTTCATTTCATCAGATCACATAAGGATTTTTCTTAAGCATTCTTCTTCCAGTTGGCTGTCTAACATAATCTCCCACTTATCACACATTATGTTGCTACTCTGCCATGGCTTTCTTTGGCTACGGCACAGACTCTGGTATCTTTCAAGGCTAATATTGTGGATTATGTCAGGATATGATAGGCACTGCACACAGTGTCAGTATTTCTTAGTATTAATGTCACTGCTGTCCAATGGCTCAAATAAGACAGTAGAAATAAGCAACAAAACTTTCAGTATAATACATGCTATGAAAGCAAGGCAAAATATAATTTTACTTAGCCTTTTCACATTGGTGAATAATCATTTTTGTATGCTTTAGTTTTTATTGTTAAAGTTTTAGGAACATTAATTGTATAGTCTTGTATTTTATGATTGTTAATTAAGTGCATGAGTCATAATGTCAAAATTCAAAGCCATAAAACCATCATGTAATATTATCAAGGGTGATGTTAGCAGCTGTTTTTTAAAATAAATATGGGTGATTATTTTCTCTGTATATACAGAATCTGGAATTGCCTGTTGATCATCTGAGTTCATTGCTGTGGCTCTTTACCAGGACAACATAGATTGGTACCAAACATCTCTCAGAGCTGTCCAATAGTTCTAAGCCCTGTAGTTCACATGTTCCCTGTAGGAGAATGATGAGATAAATTTGGGGAGTGTTGTAGCTCTAGCTGACAAACGTGTAAGCCATACAGGTGCCCAACAAGTCCTACAGGCCTGAAGAGACTGATGAGGTCATACTTGCACAGTCTGGTAGTGCTCAGCAAGTTGGGATCTACTCGAGAAGTCCTAAAGCTGACTAATGATCCAATCCAGCAAGAATGACTCAACCTGTACCCTTTATAATGTCTTTTAATTTTCACAAAATAAACTAAAGGTATATTTTCATCTTCGTTTTTTTCAAAAGTTATAGTTCATATTGTATGTATTGTATAGTATTTATGGCAAGGTATCCGTGCAATACATGTGCATAATGTAGCAGGTATCACATACACATGCAAACAGTCACATAAAGCTATGAGTGTATAGTAAGCAGCTCATTTGTACAGACACTTCATCATGATCAGTCCAACATTTTTATTACAATATAATATTTCAGAAAATATTTAAGAGAATGTTGAGGTGTGACTTTCAATACGGTTTCTCTATATGCATTTTTTTGTTCCATATTGAAAGTTCAGTTCAAGGATTGTAACATTTCTTGTGCATATGTCTGTCTTTCTTCCATCTTTGTTCATACAAGGATAGAACTGAGCTTTACAGAGATGCATTAAAATTCTGGGAGAATCGGCCTTCATGCAATACTTCAGCAAATATTTTTAATACATGTATAGCATTAAAAATGCTATTCTATTTTCTTCCAAAGCTACTTTTTAACACATAGGTATATTGATTGTGTGGTTATACATTAGAAGGGTTTGGGTCATTGTAGTAAACTACTACTGCCAAGAAGATATTGCCTTGAACAAACCTACCAGTGGAAGTAATTAATGACTGATTTGTCTTGCGATTCTTTGACTTGGCTAATTAAAGGAGTTCATAAAACTCTAATTTTGGCAGGTGCAAGAAGGGTTCTGCACTTGTTAAGAGATTTGGTTTCAGCTGATGCCAGGAAGGCCTGTGTGTTTAATTTGTTACCTCTGTCATATCCACACAGCACTGTGCCAGAATGTTTGATGATTGTGTTGAAAGACTGCTCACAAAGAGATTGAGTTGATAGTAAAGTCAGTGTAGGGTAGGAATATCAATTGTGTTTTTAAATATCTACCCATTGTTCATCATATAAAGCTATAAAGATTAAGTCAATTTTAGGTGTATGGAATAAAGCATATAAGCCTACTGCTCCTCATCGTGTTTTGACACTGTTATAGGATTTTCACTATTTCACCTGCTTTATTCCATTGTCATTTGGGCAAATAATATAATTTTGTTTTTTTTTTACTCACCTCACACAATTGCTTTATCCTTTAGGGAATGTGTATATGTTTTTCCAGGACTCAGAAAAGTGAATCTGATTTTGAACCTTGCATCTTGGTTTAATTTTGTTTGCACGTTTGAATAGATGCCACTTTATGAGGTTAGGAGGAAGCTGAAGCTAAGCCAGGCTTGAGGTATTTTTCACTGTGGATGTACTGTAGTCTTTAGATGTAAGAAGTGAACAGTAAAACATTTTTTTCGGAAACGTGCTATTACAAATCCCTATTTTCAGTCTACGACATTTTGAAAAAGTTTTTTTTTCCCAGAAGTGCTCTTTTCATGTAACATCTCAAAATGCGGCATTCCAACAGTAGCAAAATTTTTGTTGTTCACTACATTCCAAAGTTAAGCTTTTGCCTCTGTGAACTGCTATCTATAATGTGGAGCTCATACCAATGGGCTGTTTTCTATAATGTTGAGCTCATGTCAATGGGCTCTTTTCTTTACTTTGAATTAGTTTTTTCAATAATTCATGCAGTGGAAGCTATTAATGACTGATTTGTCTAGTGGTTCATTGACTTGATAATTCAGTTTTTAAAATTCAAATTCTTGGCATGTAGAGGAACAACTTTGCACTTGTTAACAGATTTGGTTTCAGAGGAATGCAAAGACTGCTCACATAGCAATTGAGTTAATACTCCTGGCAGTGTGCCACTCTAGGCCAAAATATCATTTTAAAATAAATACTGACTGGTCATCATTGCTGGGGAGAAAGTGTTGACTTGAGTTAAAGGCATAAAATCAATATTCTGTTGAGGTATTTTAACAATGTTACAGGATTTTCACTACTTTACCTGCTTTATTCTAGGTTCCTGAATTGATGAAAAATTTAATTTCTTGGCTTTCAAGTTTGCCTTTTTTAAATTTAATGTAGAATTTTTCATGAATTCGCTGTTAGGGGACTCACTTGTTAAACATTTTTTTTTCTGCAGCTTACATTGGCTTAAATCCAGTAAGATTTAGATTGTAGCTATATTTTGACATTTAATTTATATGTGGGCTCTGACCTTCTGGGGCTTGCATTTAATTTATTGCTTCCATAAAAAGTGAAGCCTATAAAGAACATTTGCAGGAATGCACGCTTAGATGAAACTGAGGTGTCACATTAGATAGTGTAGTGGATAACACAATTCAGTAGTCAATTTGTGTTTGACCACCCATCTATCAGTCATTTTAAGCACAGCTCTTAGGAGCTTCTGACTGAAGCAATGACTGTTCTGAATCTTTAGGGAGAACATGAGGTCCAGATGAAATTACACCATCTGGTTATTTTAGATCTTAGACTTACAAGATTAAAACAGTGAAAAGAGAGCAATACAGGTTGTGTTGTTTTATGTCTCTCTATCTGTGTACTGTCTTAAGAGATCTGTTCAATATTTACGATTTCCTATTTACTTTTTCAGAGAGGATCAGACGAGCTACTGTCTAGCAGTCTGTACAACAGCCCCAACTCTAATATGAGTGGCATGGTTGTAACGGGTGAGTGTAAATCAATTTAAATTTGTGACCCAAATAAATTGAACTTAATTTTGTTTTGTACTTTTTGCTTCAACATTATAGTGAGGACTGGGTGATCTTCTTTAATTATCGGCCGTCATGATAATTCTGTGCTAAATGATTTTTTCAAAGAAAGACAGAAGATTCAAACAAGCACTACTAAACTTTGGTTTTTCACATGTCACATGCAGTAACAACAGTATAATTGGGCCAACTGAATAGGATGCTTCATAATTTAGTGGCATTAAAGTCTTAGTAACAATTCATAGACATGAGAGATTGTTCCCATATCCAAATAAAAACTTGTGTCCTGGAGATCCATTGTCATTCTTATAAAATTTGAGTGAACTTGTGTAGTATTTTTGGGAGGAATACTCTGACAACTGTATGCATTTTCACTAAAAAAGGATATTGGATATTTCAAGACTGTTGCAAAGTTTGAAAAAAAACTCTCATCAATTTCCATACTCTGATTTGAATATTCTAATACTTTTTTAAGAATAGAAATACTACTTGTACAAAAAATTATTTCAGAACTATTCTTTACTCATAAATTACTAAAGGTGATCATAGCAAGTTGTCACATGTTAAAATAAATCATAAAGAGAAACAAAAGAGATCCTTTGACTAATTTTGCCTGCATTTACGGCATCTTATTTGCTTAAGTGATTTTTAATGTTGTCGAATAGCCAGAACTTAGAAAAGATGGATGAGATTTCTATGAGAAAAGGACTTTTAATATGTAAATATATTATTTTTTTTTACAGCTAATGGAAATGATAGCAAAAAGTTAAGAGTTGAAGACAGAATGGATTGTCCCCCTTCACGTGTTCTCCACATCAGGAAGCTGCCCAATGAAGTTACAGAGACAGAAGTTATTGCCTTGGGTTTACCGTTTGGGAAAGTCACTAACATTCTCATGCTTAAAGGAAAAAATCAGGTGTGCTTGTCACTTGTGTTTTTTATTATTTTGGAAAACAGATCTTCGTGATTCTGACATGTATTGTTTCAAGTTAGTGTTATAATATTATTTAAAGTTACTTGGTCCTGATATTTTGTTTTTTTTCTCCTGAATACTTTAGCTGAAAGAGTGAAACTGTCAGCCATTAGCAAGAATTTTTTATTTAACTGAAATAGACCTTTAAACATTCAAAATAAGTTTGGCCATCTTTTAAGTAGTGAATGGACAACAGAAGGAAATGCTTTTTTTTTTTTTTGGAGCTGTAGAGTTAAATTTTAGATATTCATGTATGTCTTCATTTTCCCCCAACAGGCCTTCCTTGAACTTGGAACTGAGGAAGCAGCTATTACAATGGTTAACTATTACACAGCTGTGACTCCTCATGTTCGTAATGTGCCCGTTTTCATCCAGTATTCAAATCACAAAGAATTAAAGACTGACAATGCTCTTAACCAGGTATGTTCCGCTAGATTGCTAAAAATGACTAGGACAGCTAACTCCACCTGCATCTAAAAAGACCTCAAACTGGTGTTGTAACCTAATTAAGGAATGTCGTATTTATAATGGTTTCTTAAGATTGGTGAATTGTGTTAATCCCGCTTGCGTCATGACTGATACATTTTCACGGTAGCGTCTTCAAAACTGTTATATCTGTTAAATGTACATAATGAGCTTAAAAGTGAAAGAACTATTTACATTTGATGCAATGACAAAATACTGAGGAAAGTGTTACAATTAAAAATTAACGAATGTTTGTTGCCAATTCGACACCTTTCACATGTAAACCTGGATAGAATATAATAGAACTTATTTGCAAATAGTTTCCTCAATATGTGTGTGCTAACCCTGCAATGGACTGCCGTCCCTTCCAAAGTGTAGCCTGTCTTGTGTTTTGTCTGCCCTTTGTTTCGCTGCAACCCTGTTGTGCTCCA